AGTGGGAAGGAGATAATTGTGACACAGTTTACGGGCAGTCTCATGGACGCTTGCGCTCCTACACAGCGTACCGATTGGACAGGTTCAGTTTCGAGAGAACGCGTCGGGTTTCCTCCAGGCGCTCACTGATGCAACAAACTGGGATGCCGCTGGACCTATATTCTCAGTCTGACTATAGGGTGGGTCTGGCATGCTTCGTACAGATTGCTTTTTATTAGCTGTCCTTTAGCCTTGCCGCTCATCTATGGTGGCGCAATCGCCAGATGTCTGTCCAGCCACTAAATCCTCCTGTTCCTCTCAATTTGCTGAGTGGAATTGCTCCAGTGCTCCTTGTCTATCGCCTTCCTTCCCAAATTCCACACCCAATCCAGCCCTCAGTTTTGCGAACGAACATCCGGATTTGGCCTCCTAAATATGCAAATACACCGTCTTCGCTCTTCCATCCAACAGCGTGCCAAAAGCAGTTAGCAAATTGTCTTCACCTTTGACCCCGTTACATGATGTGATGGCCGCAAATTCATCTAGCCATGTTTCTACTTCTCTGCGCGTAAATTGCGCTGGCCAGGTCAGCTTCATCCTGATTGGTCATGGCACCAGTGTCGCGAGAATCACGCGGATGGTGGCAGAACGTTTATTGTCATAACAATGCGCAACTGCCCGCTCGCAAACCCGTTCAGATATGGACGGGGTTCCCTTCCCACTACATATTGGGAATGAAGATTTTTGGCACCGACCACTCCATATGCCTTACGAACTGGAGCCTGGGAACAATCCCCACCAGGTTTTCATCCCGGATCTCCGCTTCGCTGTATCCGATTCTGGCCAGCCAGGAGTCGTTCGAAAGCGCGCGGTTGGTTATCCGGTGGCTGCGTCACTCGGCCCACGTTCAGTCCTGTGGACTTTGCTAAATAAAAATTCGCCAGCTGTGCGCCGTAACGGCGCTTTGCTACCACGCGACCACCACCCGTCGCGCATGAGCTGAATATACCGCGAGGACGCCCACCCCTAGGAGGATTCGAACCGGTGATCTTATGGTTGCAAACCAGATACGCAGACCACTCGGGCGTCGGCCGACTTCGCTAGCGGCGCATTTGTGTGTTTCACTGTGGTCTCAACAAATACGTCCTTCGCTGTTTTGGGCCCAGGCTCGTTACGAGACGTCACGCGTGATCCGCTCTGCTCGATCCGCAAGTCTCGCACTGCCTTGTCTTGTCTCCGCCATTGCGCCCGTTGGTAATTCCCTACTATCCCGTTTTTGTTGTCCTCCCATTTCCAGCGTACTCGTTGGTTTCCGCCTCCCTGTAGTGGGACTAACTTCTAAGCGACAATTTTCAGACACTATTGACCTTAAGTAGTGTTCGAATCGCAGTACGAAGTCTTATCGGTTCATAGACATTGAAGCCAATCAGTGAGGCACAGGGCCAGGTTGATTGTATGGACAATTTTAAGTCTTGTACGCTAACGAGCCTTTATAACAAAAGTTATATCGAACTACCCCTACCCTAAACAACGCTTTGCAGTACCAAACCAGATGCTTTCCTTCCATTGATGAAACGATGGCCAGTGCACTTTAAAGCAAGGGGTTCACGATTAGGTGCCCAATGGCTAGTCACAATTATTGGTAACTGTACTGTCGTGGAAATATAGATGGACTACTTCGTGTTTCCAGTGATATAGTGCAGAAATGGAGCCTTCGCGATGGCAGCCTTGCAGATCATGACGGGTCGCCACCATACAAATATAAGGATACTTTGAACATACCATGACAGTGCAGTCTACCAAGATATCTGTAGGTTCAAACTAGGTACAATGGTGTGCTATGCATCCTCAAAGTGCTGCTGCAGGACCACCAGCCACTTGATGATCCTTGATAACGAGGAACTCGAAGTAGTTGATCGATTCACTTAACTTGGCATCTGCATCAACAACGATGAGCGCATAACAACTGAAGTCAGGGCACGCACTGCAAAAGCTAGAACTGCCCTCTTGAATCCGCGACGTCTTTGGCGACAGAAAGGGGTTTTCCTCGGTGTGAAATGCCACAGTGACGGCCGTCTTACTTTATGGAAGTGAAACTTCGCCCCTCCGATCTGAGGACCTGAAGCGCCTTCAGGTCCTTGATCATCGCTGTCTGCGAGACATTGCTATTGTCGCATGGCACCAGCGTGTCCGTAACGATGAGGCACGTAAGCGAGTTTGAGACAATGATAACTAAGCTAGTTCCTTAGAGTAAGTTGCGTTGGCTTGGACACGTGCTACGTATGCCTGGTCAGCGCCTACCGAGGAGGGCCTTGTTTTGTCTGTCAGATATAGGTAGAGCAAGGCTCAAGGTGGACTAAATTAACTTCGCAGCGCGAAATGGAGTCACTGACAACCAAGATGCGCGCCGTCGGTCAGTCTCGCCTTCCACACTGGATTCCACGTGAGTCGCCTTGTACTCGGCTCGATACTTTACAAGACTTGGCCCACTGTCGACATCAGTGACGCGTCTGTTGCCGTCTCTTAGTCGGACTGCGTGTTTAAAGTGTGTTTAGTGCTGAGTTACCTGCGCGGTAATGGCTGGTTATGACGCGGGGCAGTGAAAGCCGCAAGATAGCTGTCTCACCGATACCGCCTGTTCCCTGTTTGACAGCCAGTCAAACGAAAGACGAATGAACCGAGCAATCGGTCACCGGTTCCCAATGGGCGCGATTCCCTAATTTCGCCACGCTGCCTTGCGGGTCAGGTCGCTATGACCAAAGGCTCTGGGTGCGACCCCCCTAAGTCAACTCCCTTTCTCGGCCTGAGCAACCAGGAAGCTGTATGCGCACACAGCACATGAAATGATGGATTTACAACTCTCTGCTCACGTTTCTTGCTCCCTGAACTCTCTCCGTTTGGCCGGGGTGCTGGCGGCCGGGAATGCTAAACCTCAGTCTACCGCACCGCAAACCAGGTTCTTCGTTCCACGTTAATTCAACCCTCCTGTTCTTGCCCACCCCCTTCAATTTCGAGTCTTAAAAAGTGCATTGCAACTAAAAACGGTACGTTTGATTTCATCAATATACCGCTTAAAACCGTTCGCACACATTCCAATACCAACAGCAAGGCTTTTATTGCACCCCGTTCGCTCTTCAAGCTAGCTACGTTGAATGTTCGAACGCTCATGCAGATTGGTTCACAAGCTGCTCTTGCTCGCACCTTGGAAACCCACTCAATCGACGTTTGCTGCCCAACTGGAACCAGTTTACAAGACTCCAGCAAAACGCTGCGCTTGCTCTCACCCTCTCCAGGTACCAAGTGCCCATTCACCTTGCGCATATCTGGAGATGCGACAGCGGCAGCCTCTGGTTGCGCCGGCGTAGGAGTTGCGTTAAGCGCGCGTGCTGAGGCAGCACTCATTGACTGGTTCCCGGTCAACAGTCGTCTTTATGTAGTCCGCTTGACAAGCACAGTGCGATTTTTCAGCCACGGGACCAGTAGGCGCTACTTATTCATTGTGGCAGCGTTCGGTCCTACGGACTGCAGTCCGGACGAAGCTAAAGAAGAGTTCTACCGCCAACTCACTGACCTCCTCCTCAAGAAACACCGCATGGACATCGTGATACTCGCCGGTGAACTTAATGTGCAGGTCGGTAGACTAGAAGTTCATGAACACGAACTTGGGGGTCAAAACAGCCACGGTACTCGCAGGACGGTCAACGGCGAGCGACTCCTTCAACTGTGCGCCGACCACAGCTTGTTCCTCTCCAGTACCAATTTCCGACGTTCCTATCGCCTACGAACCACCTAGCGACCTCCGGCGCCTGGTCAATCTTGGACACAAGTTGACCACATCACTGTTACTTACCGTTGGGGAGGCTACATAACGGACTGCAATTCAAGTTGGAACACTTACCTGAGTTCGGATAATGCGCTCGTGTGTGTTAAGTTCTTTCTGCACTTTGGAGGCATCCAACAGCGTCACCGGAAACGGTTTGACACGGACAAGCTCGCTGCCCCAAATGTTCTCGGCGCATTTCACATCACATTAGCCTCCAACCTACGTTCTCTATCCTCCGATGTTGAGACACTCTGCGTACAGATCCAGAGCGCCTTACGAAAGTCCGCTACTCTGGTCTGTGGCTTCACTAGACGAGCTGCTAACCATTGGATCTCCGCACAGTCTCTCCAATTAATGGAAAGTCGTCGAACGATTCCCGCCGGAGTTGAGTACAATGCACTACGCAGAATCACAGGTGCTGAGCTCAGACAGCTCCTCAGGAATGAGGAACTCCGTCGGCGAGTCTTCAGCTATAACGAACTCCGCCGACCGATTGATAGCATCATTTCACTGCGGAGGCTACGCTGGTTTGGGCATGTGCTCCGCATTCCTGCCCAGCGCCTACCACGACGAGCCCTATTTGCGAGCACAGGCGTGGCTTGGAAGCGACGAAAAGGAGGGCAATGTAAAACTTGGATCCAATGCGTTAAGGCGCAAACGTTGAAGCTGGCTGCTGTTGGGCGTTCCCGACTCCTGAGTTGGGGACCAAAGGACCAAGAACACACCTGGTTGCAAACACTGGAGGATATGGTCTAGGCCTGCACTCAACGGCGCAGTTACTGTGAGACTCTTCTACCCTAACAGTTGTTTTCCCTTTCACGCTAGTTTTTCTTCTTGTGTTGTGGCACTCAGTCAGTTATATTGTAATTGGTATAGTGTTAAAGATATATATATATATCGCCTTATCTTTACACGATAGCCAGCCCTTTGCGATGGTATGTTGTTGAAAATGTGTAGTCGTCTTGACCCAGAATGTTTGCTTAGGCCTTTAAGATTTTCCGGTTAGCCTTTTCTCTCTCTTTTATCATTCTTCATTCCGTAGGTCATCATGGTTGTATGGCAGCGATGCACCAGTTCAAATGGATGATGTATTGCTGCTGTTGAGGAAGATGATAATGACAATGGTGCGCTGCTCTAACGGAATCTCCCGTGCCTCAGTTGAATGCAGCAAGACTGGAACCCTGCTTATTTTGAACGAGCCGGTATCCTTAACTGGCCCATTAGCGAGTAAAAGTGCAGTGAGAAATTTATGAAGAGCAATAAGGGTCACCCCTCAGTGGTTATAGAAGCGAAAAATGTTAAATCTAACGTCAAAGCACTGAAAATTTCGAATCGCAGTATACACATGAAACGGAGCGCTCCTTAGGCGAAAGCTTCTACCCACTCTTGAGTGCCAACCTAAACCGTATTAGTCATACAGAACTACCTTTTGTGGATAGCACACCAATCTGAAGACTTATTGAACATGTGAATGTCAGCAATTCAATTCCGGTGACCGTTATCCACGGAAAGAAATTTGTAGCATTTCACTTCGTCCTCAGTCAAGTCTGTTTTCTGACTGGGGGACGTGTTGTTGAACTCACCCTACTTTGACTTTGAACTCTGGGCGACGATCACATTCAAACCCATTCCGCATACACAGTTGGAGTGACAGTAAGATGATTCCAAACTGACCGTAATATCCTTTGGTTGTTTTCCCGGTAACCAAAGGTGATCGGTTCCGCACACCAAGAGGTTCATCATCACACACTGTTCCAGTCCGGCATGCCGTTCCATACCAGCGGGCTGTCCAATCAGTACGGGACCCACGAACTCCGCCATGCGTCTGTTCGCATAGGCCCAGATATGTGGCCATGTGGTAATACGTGCGATGGGCCATCGCTCGTTACGCTGTTCACGTAAGCGGCGAAAACAGGATATGGTGTACCGCCGAGCCAGGAAAATCACATTTCGTATGATAAAACGAAGTAAACTTCTTTGGTTCATATCGGTGATCATGTGAATGTCGTGATAAACACATTTATTAAATTTGTTCAACATTTTCACATACTTCTGTCTGTTACGTTCTTCGCAGCGATAATGTTTCTGTATTAATGGCTGTATTGTGTCATTGGCCCGCTGCTTGGTCCGCTTAAAACGTGGTGCATTTTCTTCTCCCTGCTCTGCATTCTGTCGCAAGATTTCTTTGTACAACTCTTCCTCAATTTGGAAATCATAAGAATGAGGTGGTTCCATTAGAGAAATTTTCGAAGCTATCTGAGCTCCTTTGGGGGACATAACGAACAACGGTTCTGGTAACCGACGCAACATCTCCAAGATGGCATGGAAAATTAGTGACGGCTTGACGCGCGAAAGCATTATTATCATATCCTCGGTTGTGGTGCAATTTAAAATTAACCTATCCACCAATAAATCTACCAGCGCCTTCTGGGGTGGCTCAGCTTCAATAAAGCTTCTCCCGATGGACAACTCCATCTCGTGTTTTTGTCGTAATACCAACATAGGTACACCAAAATGTATTGGAATCTCGATCCGTCGCTGATCTATATTCTCAGCGTTTTCTGTGTAGGGCGCTAGCAAAAATTTTTCAAACTCCATTGTTGGCATTCGACCGAAGCATAGTCTTGCGGAACTGTCTGATGAATACGTCATGATGCACCAGATTGCAATGCACTCCCAAAGTTGGATGATCACATGGCTCAAGTGTGAACCTTTGTACTGATCGATTGAATTGGTTAAACAGTCGAATGGTGTGAGGCAAGTCAGCTGTTGCAGGCAACAATTCATCAATTCTGTACGCCTACTCAACTGCGATCCTTGTATTGAGGTACGGTAAATCCGGTTGCCTTCACGCCAGAGAAGTGCAGTTTTACCGCCGGGCAACACCTAACTGGTGCAAATTCACCTCCGAGTGAAAGACAGACCATCGCTTAAGATAGTGCGTCGCACTCCATACACGCAGCAGGTACTTACGCATTTGATTGCCTCGGATTTCTTGCTGTTCGCTGGTTATGTTAACATGTGCCAGACGATCGTCGACGCAGGAGATCACGATGCACTCCCATGAGATCTGGACAGAGCGTATGGATGGTCACTCCACAATCTGCTCCAGTTCAATTCGGGGGAGTGTAAGGTGGTTCAAATTTGCCACCAGCCGAAGATCACCTACAACCTTGGGGACCGTGTCCTGCAAGGAGTCATCCGGGGGCGCGACAGTGGAGTACTAGTCAAAGCTGATCTGGACCGCTCAGAACAATTTGAGAAGGCGTCAAAGACTGGAAACCAACACGTTAGCATGTTGAGGAGGGCATTCGGGCAGTTTCATCCCTCTGTCTGTTCGCAGTTGCTCAACACCTATGTGCGGCCTCATGTGGAATACGCAATCCAGGTCTGGCAGTCCTGGCACAATAATGACCTTGCAGCGTTTGAGACTCCACAGCGACGAGCCACGAAGTTCGTCAACCTTCCTTATCAAGTTAGACTAAGGACTCTAAAATTATACAGTGGCCGCTACCGGCGCATACGTGGCAACCTTATAATGACCTAGCTGATTCTAAGGAACCGCAATCACGTCTGCCACCACCTACTACAATTGAGCCACAACACAAATTTGTGGGGCCGCCAGTTCAATTTGGCCATGTAATACAGTCAGCTAGAATATCGACTGAACTTTTACTCTCTTCGTGTGTGCCAACCATGGAACGCCCTCCGAAATTACCTTGTTTCCGCCCCCAATTTATCTGTGCAAAAAACGTTTTGATTTCGCCCTAACCAACCCATATTATGAGATATAGCCTGTGTATCATGACAGACGATATAATGTGACGAAAGTTGCACAACCAAAAATAACCTACACGACTGAGATTGACTCTTTCTGCATGCCTGTGTAAGCACTTTGGGGAGTCCACCAAAACGATTTCCAAGTTATCACTTGGTTTTCTATTCACCATGTTGTGGTTCTTATTCTGAGAATCCTACGAGACTTGCTAAGCACCTGCTTTTTTGTCCATCCATTAAAATGACCCCCCATCAGTTGTGACAAACGTTGCACGGTGGCTTATGGATAGAGGTTTCGGCCGACATCCCACTGTCCCGAAACTCCGGTCACAGTCCTGCTATCACTACCTGGTGAGATCAAACAACTTCAAAACTTGTCGGGGAGTGGGATGTTATGAGGTGGAAGCACCTAATAATTATCACCAATAGTGTCATTTATAAAGGAGGAGATGACATTGAAAAGGTGAACAGGTATGCATAGCATCCAGAGAAGAATCAAATAATAGTTACGATCGGTAATTAGATATGTGGAATACAACCCAAGCGCACTCGTCATTTTGGATTACACAATTTGTGACGAATGCCATGACAACTGGTTAAGATGTTTCCTGACCACGCACTGACGCGCACTACTAGAACCAATAAAGCGCATTCGACTACAGCGCAATCTGATGTTCTTCTACCATACCTAGAATGGCGGGTTTGGAGGCTCAGGCAGCCAGGCGCGGTGTTAGCCGACAAAACACGTCAGGCACGGTGATCGATTCCCGGAAGCGATCGAAAGAACTGTCACGGTGCACAATCATTGACATGGAAAAGGGGCATGAAGAAGACGATCGCACGTTTATCACCAGTTGGTCCATTCCGCCTTCCAGGTTAGGGGGACAACACGATACTGATTCCTCGTATTTGCCAATGTTAAGTGTTATGGCCCGCAACTGTCATCAGTGGCTGGTTTGCCAAATAACCTCCTCGTGGTTAAGGATGATCTCGTTCTAGCAAATGCTTCAGCGACAGTGTTCAAGGACGTGGTGGCTTTTCGCTGCACAAGCGCTCTTCCTATAAAAACCACATGTCTGTTTAACAACACTGTGACGTGGCAGATGTGACTCGCCACTGAATAAATTCACTGGCTTTTAATATATTGGAATATGTTTGGAACCGACTGTGATTTCATGATTTCAGAAGGTTTTGTATACAAATCGGTTTTGGTAGGGTTTTATTGTGGCAACGTTTCGCCCTTGACACAAGAGCTTCTTCAGGCCAGGTGAATTGGTACAAAATTGGCGTAGCATTTTATGGGAAGGTTGCAAGACAAAAAACATGAACCATTGGATAATAGTGTTACAGGTCAATAGGTCAAGTGGCCACGTTAGTGAAATAACAAGCAGCGAGCGTTTCTCATTGATCCACGTCATCGGTCGTTCACATGTGAGGCATTCCTTTCTGGCAGCAGCTGATTCACGCTCCGACCTGAGTTCGTCCGCCGACACCTTTTCTGACTAACGTGGCCACTTGACCTATTGACCTGTAACACTATTATCCAATGGTTCATGTTTTTTGTCTTGCAACCTTCCCATAAAATGCTACGCCAATTTTGTACCAATTCACCTGGCCTGAAGAAGCTTGTTGGGCGGAACCTGGGATACTAGTCGGTAAGCAATGACACGTAATAAAAAAAAAAAAAAAAAAAAAAAAAAAAAAAAAAAAAAAAAAAAAAAAAAAAAAAAAAAAAAAAAAAAAAAAAAAAAAAAAAAAAAAAAAAAAAAAAAAAAAAAAAAAAAAAAAAAAAAAAAAAAAAAAAAAAAAAAAAAAAAAAAAAAAAAAAAAAAAAAAAAAAAAAAAAAAAAAAAAAAAAAAAAAAAAAAAAAAAAAAAAAAAAAAAAAAAAAAAAAAAAAAAAAAAAAAAAAAAAAAAAAAAAAAAAAAAAAAAAAAAAAAAAAAAAAAAAAAAAAAAAAAAAAAAAAAAAAAAAAAAAAAAAAAAAAAAAAAAAAAAAAAAAAAAAAAAAAAAAAAAAAAAAAAAAAAAAAAAAAAAAAAAAAAAAAAAAAAAAAAAAAAAAAAAAATAAACTCACTGGCTTTTACCTCTCATAAAGTGGCATGGTAATTCATGATTGTGTTTGGACCCTGTTCCTTTGCAGGACCTAAAGGCTTTTGAACCACTTGTTTAGGCACCGACTCTTAATAGTTCGCGACGCCCAAATATCGCCCTACCCCCTTGTAGGTTAAATGAACAATGATTTTCTGCGTGTTGAGGAGCGCTGTTTTCCAAATCCTGTTGGATGATCTTGTGGGTTATCGAAAAATAATAATAAAACCGTTTTTGCTTTAAGTTTGAAAGGAATGGCTTACTGTTTTTACACTGTAGTACTGCAGTCCTCGTAGTTGAATAACACCCTCAGGTAACAGCAAACAAATCCAAGATATATCCCAGGTGTATGATGGAGACGTAGTGCTAAGTAACAATGTGTAAATGGATGAGTACGTCATCCAACCGTCTTTTGAATATTTTTAATTTTTGGTACAGAGACGACAGATTCTAGGATAGCATTCCATGGGTGACACTAACAGAAGAAGTTCCTGCGGAAATTCATATGGCTATATTGTTCTGCGAGTTTCAATGATTGACCTCTCAGCTTCGTATTGCTGCTGAGTTGCAGTACAGACTGGCAACAGGATGTGGATCGTGTAGCATTAAGTAGGCTACTAGTAAGTCGCCTCGTAATCGGCGATACCGTCCGCTGAATAAACCCAATCATTTCAGTCTCTGCTCACATGGGAGATTGCACATTCCAACGACGTACTTGGACGCCCGATGTTGAGACTGCTCCAGTGCATGATGGTCGTGTTTCAGCCATGGACGACAGGCTTGAATTGCGTATTCGACGTAGGATCGAACATACACACTGAGCATCTGTCGGAAAATAGAGGTGTCTGTTTGTTAGAACACCTGTCGCAACAGCTCGATGTGTTAGTTGTCAACTTTCGGGACATTTTTCGATTGCCTGGAGCAACCTTGGTCATCCTGAACCATCAGGTCTAGATCACGTTTGAAGGAATATCGCTGCGGTACATGCGTTCCGAGCTTGTATGAGTAGTTGATCTGGTGTCATATGGGGCGTACCTTGTATTTACTCACGTTGAAATGCAGTACATTTTTGATGGACCACCTATGTACGGTGTTTAGGTCACCCTGAAGCAGATGCTAGTCGGCATTCCTCTGGATCCTGCTCGACGGCAAACAGAGAGAAGTTTGAAGCGATGGCCTGTGTGAGGTCATTAAAAAACCAAAGGCAATTATGGACCTACAACTGAGTCTTGCGACTTGTACTGGGCCAGATAAAGAGCTCAAAATTCTGATTTTGATCCAAGGCTCGAGATAGGGTCCCCTAAAATAATCTTCTACTTTGACCAAAGCAACCGGGTAATATCGCGCCCACTGACGAAACATGGATAGAGCACACTATTGTTTTACTCTTGCCATGTCTACTGACTCTATTGTCTTCTTTGCTCAACCTGCACTCACGGATCGTCCCGCGTCCGGTTCTTCACCTCACTCCTCTCCGGCCACCGCAACAACAGTTTGATGTTCGCGACTAATGGAACTAAGTGCCAAAATGTTTGTAGTAAAGACCCGGCAATCACAGCTTTGCAACACTCCACCTAGACTCCAGCTTTTCTTCTACCGGGTTCTCCATTCAGCCTCTCAGTATCCAATGTTCGCACTCTGATGCAGATGGGACGGCAAACATCCCTGGCCATACCTTTGAAATGCTCTCGGCAGACATCTGACGTTTTTCGGAATCCAGATTGTGAGACTCCAGTACCGTTATCAGAATCACCTCTCCGGCCAACCCTGACGTTAAACGCCATTTGCTTCTTTCCGAGGACTCAGAGACTGCCGCTCCTTGTCAAGCTAGTGTCGGGGTTACACTGAGTCACAGGGCTGACACAGCTCCGCTTGACGGGATCCCAGTCAACAGTCAGTTATGTGCACTCCGACTTCTAGTTTCTTGTAAAGTAGATAAGCGAGGAGATGTTAAGCATGCCTTATCCGTCCTCTCCGTCTACGGTTCTTCAGACTGAAGTCCGGATGCAGTCAAGGGTTGCTTTTACCAACAACCACATGACCTTCTGCGTTCCACAAAATAGTCTGACTGTCGTTCATCTCGTAGACTTCGATGCCACAGTGGACCGCCTACCAACAAGTGAGCACAATTCTGGGTATAGTTTGGGCCTCAGTAGCAGTCGATCAGACGATGGAGACAGACTGCCGACTCTCTCTTTTGATTGTCACATGTTTATTCGAGCACCGATTTTCGACACACAAAGTGACAGACCGCTATTTGTTGCTCACTTTCTCAAACGCAAGAGTGATCGCACCTTCACCACATAGTAACAAGCTACAGATGGCGCTTAAGCATAACAGACTGCCTATCGTACTGATCATGTTTTCTGCACTCCGATCACCCAGTATTTCACGATAAGATTTGCAGGCATTTTGCAGGATCACGCTGGTATACACACTACCTACCGAAGGTCGAAAATCTACAAACTCCTACGACGTTAGCTAGTACCAGGCCTCTCTATCAACACTGCTTGTTTCAGCTTCTGACGCCGACCTGTATTTACAACGGGCGCGCATCAAAGATGCATTAGTTTCTGCCAGCACTGACAGTTGTGGAGTTAGCAGTCACCCGCCGAAAGGCTGCATTACCACTACCAACTTATCGCTGATTGGCAGACACCACTCGGTCCTCTCCGAAGCCAAGTGTAATGAGGAACGCCGATCTCTGGATCGGGAACTGCACAGAACTTTTCAGAAGGACCGTAAAGTATGGTGGTGTGAAGATGTTAGATGGATGGAAGTTGCTAGTCTCTGGTAATTCCAAAAAAATTTTCAGATTACCTGAGTCACCGAAGGTTTCCAATCTGGTGTAAGCGAAACAATCTGCGAGGAGGCTGGTTCACTAATCATTACTCTTCAACGACAGTTGGAACGCGGCTGAAAACTTTGGCTCGCAGTTTTGCTGGCCGCCAGCTCCATCTGCCTCCTATGGAGCACTCCCTGTTGCTGACCGGTCTGTCACTACATGCCCACGCCTCCAACAGGGATTCTGGAATAAACACCGCCTAGTGAAGCGTTAAAAAGCACCCGGCCCTGTTAGTTTACCTCCTACTTTCTTTAAAGTTGGTGACTATTCGCAGAATTCTGGTCAAACAGGGAGCTTCTAATGTCTTTCGGTAAGTCTACAGTCGTCCCCATTTCCAAACATGGCCTGCACACCAATGCTGCAACTACAAGGGTATAAGTTTGGTTCACGTTGTTTGCAAGTTCCAGGTGTCTACCCTACTTCCCAGCCTATCATCAACGCGCGAATCGCCAAACCTATACGAAAACCTGGGTTTCGCCCTGGCAGCGGTTGCAGAGATCAAATTTTCCCACACTGCCAGATCCTCGAGCTCCGCCATGCGTATCAAAAGCCAATGGTTGTTGTGTTCCTGGATGTCCTTGTTGCCTACGATTACCTCGACGGGACGGCCTTGTGACACTGTCTGTTAAGGAACGGCGTCCCCGGGAAGTTCGTTTCTGTACTGCGTGTTATGTACAGTCAGACTAGTAGAGGACAAGGCAACCTTTCGCCATCCTTTGTTGCCGCCAGTGGCATTCGATAAGTTTGTCTCACCTCCCCATTCATATTCGATTTTGCCATTGAGCGGGTCCTCAGAATTGCTCTGCAAGATTTGTTACACGCTGGTATCGAGTTCTTCCCAGCTAGTCGACTAGCTGACTTGGACTACGCTGATAATATTGTCTTGCTGGGTGACGGTTCACAGGTCGTCCAACTTGCACTTAACCACCTGGTGCTCGAAGTATGGCACGCACTCTTCCTCATCCAATTGCAAAGACCTTTTTCAAAACTGGTGGATGCCTGTACTTGCACTCATTCTGGGTGATGAGACGCTGGAGCTCGTGGATAGTCTTGTCTATCTTGGTAGTTGTGTCACTGCTGTTGGGACTGTTGGAGATGGGATTTCGGTGCGTATCTCAAGATCTCCTCTCCTTTTTCTGGACTGAGGCACTTGTGCCGCCGCCATGACGGCCAACTTCCCATCAAGGAGCGGATT